GGTGGGGGCGGCCCGGGCCCCGGCCAGGATTACTTCCACCCCGGCGGGGGCAGCCCGGCCGCAGCCTACCAGGCCGCCCCCCCTCCTCCTCCTCATCCTCCGCATCCTCCGCCTCCCCCCTGCGGCGGGATTGCCTGTCACGGGGAGCCCGCGAAGTTTTACGGATACGATAACTTACAGAGACAGCCGATTTTTACGACCCAGCAAGAGGCCGAGCTGGTACAATATCCTGACTGTAAATCGTCCAGTGGTAATATTGGCGAGGACCCAGACCACTTAAATCAGAGCTCGTCTCCTTCTCAAATGTTTCCCTGGATGAGACCACAAGGTTGGGATGCAATTTTTTTTTTTTTTTAATGTGGGGAGAGGGGGAGAACTCTGCTTTCATCTCACGTTCTAGCTTTAAAACTACCTTTTCATCGCCCTCTCTTTTTCCTTCTTGTGTAGCTATAGTGGCTTTTATTCATAAATACTTTTTTTTTCCCGTAAAGTAGAAACCGCGTAAAGATGATGGGGACAGAGTAATTGTGAAGACTTTCTCTCTGTTCCTCTTGCCTGCATATCCTGTATATATATCAGAACTAAAGAGACTTGTGTATATTTCATCCCTTAGACCCGTTCCAGAAAGCTCCAGCAACCTGCAGAGGCACCATTACATTTCTAAAACGCTTGTTTTCCTTTTTTTTTTTTTTTTTTTAAATCAGCAGCTCCTGGTAGACGAAGAGGAAGACAAACCTACAGTCGTTTCCAAACCCTAGAGCTGGAAAAAGAATTCCTTTTTAACCCTTATCTGACCAGGAAGAGAAGAATTGAGGTTTCCCACGCCCTAGCCCTCACGGAGAGACAGGTAAAAATCTGGTTCCAGAACAGGAGAATGAAATGGAAAAAAGAGAACAACAAGGACAAATTCCCAGTTTCCCGACAGGAGGCAAAGGATGGGGAAACCAAAAAGGAAGCCCAAGAGCTGGAGGAAGACAGAGCTGAAGGCCTGACAAATTAACTTCTACCTTTAAAATTTTACCATGGACTATTAAAACTATGATCAACACATGCTGTTGGACACCATCTATTTTCTTTGTTGGAAAGGATTTTACCTGTATTTCAAGCTACCTTCATGTCACTGCTCTTGAGGTTTCTGCGCTTTGAGAGGGGTTTGGGTGTTAAAAGTTTATAGTATTGCATAGAAGCAGCGCTTGAGCTGTCCTATGTAAGGGTAATTTGATACTGACCTTGTTGCTATATTTTTGTAATGGTAGTTTTTAATGTCTGAGCTGGTGATTTGCCTCAACAACATAAACTTCCTAATGATTAGCACTAAATAATTGAATATAAAATGCTTTATTAATCAAACAAGTGCACTTGAACACTTAATATCATTTCTTTATGGTGAGTAAATTAAAAGAGATCTATTAATTTTTTTTAAAAATTATGCCTGCAGAATATTTTCTTTATGTTATTTGATTAAAATGTATTATTTATGTTTTCCTTTTCTGCTTTTATAATGAATGGTTCGGGTGCCTTTTGTTTACTCATAAAAGGTTTCTTTGAGTATTTTGTAAATGTAATATCTCTGGGAAAAGTCTGGGCCAAATATTCATAAAGCACATGTTAGCTGAAGAGTGTAATGTATAGTCTGGCTCTGCAGCTTCCTTAAACTTGGGGAAAATGTTGGGCCAATGACAAAAGCTTCAGGAAAATGTCATAGTTGACATTTAATAATTTTCTATAGTCTATACAAATTATGGCAATTTAATCATCTAGAGGTAATGAATACTTGAAAAGCCAATTATAACATTTTCACTCATTAACTTTTCACTCTGGCAAGTGGCCTTGTGGAATGCCTCTCATTTCTCAACTTGCTTTCGTTTTGAACTGCGCTTGGTATCGCCTGAAATCGCTAGGTCTCTATGCTGTGGCCGCTGCTGTGATTACGTTTTTTGAATAGGTGCCATATTTATTTGTATTCCTTCGCTCTGTTTGCACGCCCATTTTGAGCCAACTTGTGTGCGTCTCAGATGTCGGTTGGTACGTCCTCTGCTGTTCTCCAGGATGGCCTCACCTATTGAAACAAGCCCTGAGAGCAAATGCAGAAAAATCCGAGTGTAAACAACCGCTCCAGAACATAGCGAGCTCCTTAATAAAGAAATGAATCTTTTTCTAGAGCTAGTGTCTTTAAGCGCCATACATAACCCTTTCCCTGAGTCAGGAACCACCACCTGGGCTACTAGAAGGCAATGTTTCACTAAAGCTTCTATTTGATTTAAAAAAAAAAAAAAAAGAAGTGGGGGTTACAAGCACTGCGTTGTAAAAATAAATAAATAAATGCAGGGGAGGGGTCTCTTTTTCATTCCAGAGAGGGCTGGCTAGGCTATCCTAGCTGCATCTTGCTCTAAATAACCTTGCTAAGATAACTGTGAAAACTTTGAACTTCGCAAAGGACTCAAGTTGTGGGCCCAGTGGGGGAAGACCCAGAGTCCAGGTTACGTGCTACAGATTATTCCGCTGAGCCTGTGCTGATGCTGGGGTTTGAGATTTGTTATTAACAAGATAGCCATTTCCCATTGGAGGCTGCTCCTGCAGCTGCCATTTTATGAGGGAAGAGAAGGGAAGAGGGGTAGTAGAGAAGAGAAATTCAAGTAAACTAATACTTCTCCCCCCAAAATGGGAAGCACCTCATCGGGTAGACATTGAAGAGCTCTTCGCTTTTTCTAGATGCGTTTATTTTTAAAGAGGTACATTTTAATTTCCAGAATGGTTTTTATTGCACAGGTAAGAAAATGGAATCTGTCTTAGGCCTGAATCAGCCCCTCAGGCATTGGTGGGCTATTCGCCTGCCACTTCAAGGACCTGGGATATGTTGGCATTGGTGGGGCCAGAAGTGAAACACCACCTAGCTTTCTAACCAGGGAAGAGGCTGTGGCTGTGGCATTCGCTGACCTGAGCCGGAAAAGACCATTTTAAGTCACGGGTGGCCTGCGGCTTAAGAAACATTTGCATGAGAGGAGACAGCTGCAAATGTGCATGCTGGATTTGGAAACGTTCTGCTCCGTGTGCTGCTTGAGACTCTGCTGTTGGCTTCTAGAGCGAAGATGCCAAGCGCCTGAAAGCATGGCTAGGAAACAGCCTGTGGGGTGGTGGCGGTGGGGGTTGGTGGAGGTGGCAGCGGCCGCAAGCTGGCTAGAGCTGCTTGCTGGCCAAACTCCAGCTGCCTTCCATTTAAGTGATTCCTCTATTAGCAAAATTCTCTGTCTCCCACTCAAAAATGCTCCCCAAATTCTAGTGTTAGAGTCACTGATTTGGGGCAAGACTCAGGGGACCCGGTGCATGAATGGATGTGGAAATCAAGAAATGTTGGGGAGGTAGCAAGGTCCTTATTTCCTCTATATTCTGTGTTGCTCTGGAAGTGTTGTACCTTCTTGACCCATCGCCCCCAACCCATAGTAAAATCGTAGCTCTTGTACAGAAAAAAACTCTGCTGTAATACCTGGTGCATTGCAGAGTATGTGTACATATACAAATGTGGTATTCTAAGTATATATATGGTATATTTGTACTTATACATAGATTACACATTGCAGAAAGTGTTGGTCATAAATGTAGGTATATGTGTTTCTTTTTGTAGCTGAGAAAATCATAGATCTGCCTTCAAATAAACAGCTTGGGGCATTACCCCCCCCTTTCTCACATACACACACACACCACCTTCTTTTAGTGGCTAGAAACCCCCTATCATGGTGTTTCATGCAGACTCAAGGTGACGAGCACAGAAGACACCCTTCTAATTGGCTCAAATCTGTAAACATCCGAGGGTTGCAGCGAAGCGAGCAAACATTTTTGCTGCAGAAATTTGCATAAACCTTCAGAGAATCCTTTGAAAATCTAGGCGATGCTTTTTGGCCCTGGATTGCTTAAAATCTGCTTAGAGAGGTCTGTAAACCATTTAGAGAAAAATAGGACCCTCCAATGTCAACACTGAATGAAAAAACCAAGCCTTCCAAGTGATTTAGGTTCTCTGTTTTCAAGGACCAGAAACACACAAAAGAGGGTGTGGGTCTCAATGGTTTCTAGAGAAAAGTCAGTTCGGGGACTGCCATTTTGTGAGGTTCCACAAAGCCCAGCACATCGCCTGGATTACCTCTGCACAGGGGAAAATGTGCAAATATGGCTGCCTTTTCAAAAGTGCAAAGTCTTTTTCCCAGCCCCCCTTCCCCAGGCTGAAAAGGAGGGTCATAAAGCTCCGCTTTTATGTGGGTAGAGGAAAACTGGCAATTGAGATTATTTCTTAGATAATTTTACAAGTGAGTAATCTCTGTTCAGTTCCATATGTACAAATCAGTGTAAAGTATTCTAGCTTGGAAGGGCCCCAAAATTTGCCCCACATATTCTTACACATTTTCTTTTGTAATTAAAAACTTTATTATTCTTCAATGCACAAGATGTTGCTATTTCACATCCAAGCTTGTGTCCTCTGCTTCCCTGGTGTTTGCTGATTCTTCCGGCATCTGGGGGTGGACAGGGGAATAGAACATTTTAATGGACCTTGGATACTGCTATAGTTCCCTCCAGCAAAGTTAGAGCACAGTTTCTAGAAAGAATATGACTTTTGCTGACAGATGGCAACAGAATTCCTTTAATAAAAAACATCCAAGGTCATCGGAACCTTTTCAAGGGATACAAACGGCCTGCTTCAAACGGTGCTGTGTGTTTCCTGCTTAAGTCTATGTTCACTTAGGTACTTACTGGATGTGAGGATGTTCATAGCAGAAAACCTACCCGTAGACATCCAATCCAAATATTTATAAATGCATTACTAGAAGTCCAAAGACAGTGCCCTTGAAAGGATGGGGGGATGGGTTACCTCTTTCAGGCAGGTTCTGAAGCCTGGATGATCATGCCCATGCATTAATGATGAGGAGAATGCTGGGGCCCTCAAGGACATTTACTTTCAGCTGGTGTTCTCTGGAGCAGCTCCTATCAGAAGTGCAAAAGGAATGTGACTCCTGCCTTTGAAGGAAAAGGACTATTTCTTCCCAGGGCTGAAACTGAGGGTCCGCTCTTTTCCCGGAACAAATGGAGCCCCTCTCCTCTTCAATGTTGCATTGAGCAGGCTTTTCGATGGGCAAACATTTTGGGGGCAATGGAAGAAGGGAAAACTAGAATTAAATTGCATAGAAATAAGAAATGCACTTAGGAGAGACATAGCAAGGGGTTTCAAAGGGGATCCAGAAAGACTGCTTCCCCTTGAACCCAGCACTGTCCAGGAGGATATTTCTGCCAAGATAAATGCCAAGCATTGGGAGTTCAAACCCTTATTTTGGAGAAGTTGACAAGTACCTAAAACCATTTCCAGGCTTTGAGCTGGTTGGTGACTCTCCTACCCCTGGAAACCCCAAGAAATGGGAGGGACCCCAATTTATGTTGGAGAGGTGTTAGGGGGAGGGCGGGCTTTCTTGGCCTGCAGAGCCCTGGTTTTCTGCGCAAGATCACTGGGGCTGGCTTGCCTGGAGATGAGAGGGGCAAAAACCGAAAGTGCCTGACTGCTGCTCCGGAGCCGGCCTTTCTGTGAGGGGAGGGGAGGAGAAGCCAAGTGACCCGCGCAAGGAGACTCGGAGGGGGGTGACTGCCAGCATCACCTCCCGGAGCGCCAGTGCAGTCCACCGCATTCATTTCCCCTCCAACACAACGCTCTATTCAGCAGAGGTTTCGAGCCAAACCAAAAAAGAGCAAAAGAAATACTTCCTAGAAAAGGTGAGAGTCAGGAACCATGGAGGCAAGAGACGCAGAGAGAGCAGAGAGGAGCAGAGAAGAGCAGAGAGGAAGAAAGAGGAGAGGAGGAAGGACGGAAAAGGAGGAGGAACAGAGAGAGAACAGAAGATAGCGGGGAGAGAAAGAGGAAAAAACATGGCGCTTGCGAGCTGTATGTGCAAAATCCGCAAGGAATTGCAGCAAATTCCTTTTTGTTTGAAGAAAATTTACAACTTGGTAATAGACCTTTTTATGACCTATTTGCGGTCGTCATTGGCTGCGGCTGGTCATGTGCAGGCGCCGCTCGCCTTCACGGCCTTTTTCCTGATTTCCCAGGCGAATTTCCCCCCGCATTCTGCCTTCCTGGAGCCTCACCCCCTCTTTTTCTAACCTTTGTCTCTGCAGAGGTGGGATCCAGTCGCCGGCTGCGGGATTGCGGGGTCCGCAGCGGCCTCCGCTCCCGCCCGGCGCCCAACGTGGCCCCACCGCCGCTCCGCTCGGGCAGTGCCGCTGCCGCCTCCGGAGCCGGTGGGGAGCCTGGCGGGCGGGAGAGCCCGGAAGGAGCCCTGGGCGCTGAGGCCCCCGCCGGCGCCGACACCGCCCGCCGGGAGCAGCCGGCCTGCTCCGGGTGACTGCAGCCGCGCGCTTCCGAGGCGACTCCTTCTCCAGCATGAGCGGATCCCTGCCGCCCCCAGTGCGCGTAGCCCGGCAGCGCCTAATGGATTACTGCAGCCGCCCTGGCCGACCGCCGCCTCCTGCTCGGCAGCCTCCGGGTAAGAGTCGCCCCTCCCCGCGCCCCAGCCCTGCCGCCGACGAGCTCCAGGCGCCCACCCCCTTGGGCAGCCCGGTGAGCCTGGCCCGACTCCCTATACTTCTCCGGTACCTTGGGGTGGCTGTCTGCGCCCCCTGCTTCCTAATCACTCCATCTCTGAGCAGGCGTCCCCTGGGGCCCCGGGTGGGGTCTGGCTGAGCTCAGAAGTCGAAGGGAAGCCTCATTTCCCCTCGAGATTCCGAGAGGTGGAGACCGGCAGATAGGACTCCACTGGATCAAGAGCCCCTCAATCCCCAACCTGGGAAGAATCTGTAGATGGTTCCTGGACGTCTTAGCTGTGCTGTGGGTCACTAAAGGCACTCGGTAGTATAGAGCAGTGTTTTGCGGCTTGTCTGTGGTCAGAGGTATCTGGGACGCTAACAGGTGTTTTTTGAGGATTGAGGGCTGGGGCTGGGGGTGGGGGTGGGGTGGATTCTGCGTACCCAGGATGTGTTTGGTTTGTTAATCTAGGCTTTGGTGAGTGATGCTGGCTAATTTTTAGGGTTTATGGTTTATTGGGCCTTATGTATGAGATGGAATTTTAAATATTTTTAACCGTTTCTCTCGTTCTTAGAGAATTTTTGTAGCAACTTAAGAAAGGTTCCTCCCACATCTAATAATCTATCAGGTGAATTTGGATTATTTTATGTCACAAAATGGATACATGCTTTGGGAGGGAACGGGGTCAGAAAATCCGGTGCAGGTCTTGGGTAAAAATCAATAGATATTTAAGAAATTCAAAGCATGTTTAAGTTCAAATATTACGTGTGTTTCTTATTTGCCAGAATAGGAAGAGTAGGTATTTTGCTCTCTAAATGCCCTGTTGTGGGTTTTTGCCTACAAATAAACGTTATATAGCAACATTTTACCCTCTTCTTCAAAATTACTGAACTGAAACATTATCTATGCATCAAAAGAAAATCCTTTGCAGGAAAAAAAAAAAAAAAAGAATGCTCTTTTAGCCCACCGATTTTGAACAGCATTTGAGGATGCATCTCTCAAATCCTCTTGACTATTCCCTCATGAACACCTTGTGAAATATTAAAACCTGTGGACAATCTGCCGCATTGCGCATGGGGTGGACCTGCGCACCGCTGAATATCGTCTCCAAAGCACCCAGCGGCAAATGCTAATATTCCAAATATTCCTTTGTAATCGTTTTGGCCATAAAAGTGTTCCCAAACAATAAATGATATCTGTGTAGAAAGGTATTTTTAGTAATTAACGATGGAATCACGCTGGTTTCAAAATGGAGGGCCACTAATTTGTGGCCAGTTGATGCTGAGGAATTGTCGTGGATCACTATGATCTCACAAATAAGAAAGTGTATTTTTTATTTGGAATGTCTGTATTTTGTAACTATTTTGCCACTACGGTACAATGGCTGTTGAGATCATTGTTTCATATTGGTAAAAAGCATTACCTATTGAAAAGCAGGCCCTTGGTCAGAGGCACGTAGGCCTGTCCCCTGGCAGCTCCAAAGCCTAAGGAGCCCCCTAGGTGGGCTGGGACAAGCGTGGGGGTGGGGAGGAGTTGTGGCCATGATGGCCAAGCCCTAGGGTTCGGAGCTTCAGTCGCTTTTCCCTGGATTGGGTGGCTGAGTGCGACCAAGTGACTAAAAACCGAGGCAGGCTTCAGGTCCTGTTACGCAGCAGAGGGTGAGGTCATGGGCAGATATGGAGGACTGAAGGGTTCTTTGTAAGTCCTGTGGTAGCATTAAGAGCTTATTGGAACTTATTGGTCGGTTGCATTTAAGGGAATAAATAATCTGCAAATCACATTTGAACTCAGGCCAGGAGAAGACTAGTTAATGCTTTTGCTACTGTTGGAAATGCCCCCATTGTCCATGTTAACCCCAATTTAAAAAAAATTAAACTCAATTTTTAAAAATTAAGTAAGAAACACTTGGACTCTTAAGAGCTCACAAGCCAGGAAGTGTAACTCCCAGCGTCCTCAGCCCGAACCTCTATCCGTTTACGGTTCAGGGAGCCACTGACATGTCGGAGCCTCGGTGTTTTTACGGGTCAGGCTGTGAGCTGGGCTTGCACTCTTCATGGGGACCAGGGAAAAGAGCAAAACGCGCTATTATAAATGTGGCCAAGCACCAGGGCTGAAAACCAAACGTATTTTCCTGTCAGATGCTCCTTCAAATAAATGTATTTCGCCAGAATTCTGTTTTCTGAGCTAGAGAAGCAGGGGAAATCGGAACAAAGACAGTATTTCACTCTGGGCAGGCAGGCAGCTGTTAGAGGTATTTACGGCCTTGCCGCAGTGCGGCCGCGGGGCAGGGCACGCGGGGGCACCGGAAGCTAGGGAGAAGCCACCAAGAACTCGGAATTCCGATTTAAGTCCAATTTAGGGCCACTTTTCCGGAATTGGTGTGAATAGATACCCTCTTTCTAGGAACGAGTCCATTAGACTTGATGGTTGTGCACAATGAGGAATAAGTCGTGCTTTCTGAACGTAGGGTGATTTTCCCCCGCCTCGATTAACCACTCAAGAGAAGCAGTGTACTGGATGTGAAATTGCTGATCCAAATGACAACCTTGAGAGTGTTCATTGGCAACATGGCGATTTTGTTGGTTTGGTGGAACAGGGCTTGCAAATCAGAAAGGACGGCTGGGGGTTTTAATACAGGTTTTCCTGAAAAAAAAAAAAGAAAAGAGAAAGTACGTTTCCTGCCTCTCTGAGATGGGGCGTCCAAGCTCCTCTGCAGGTGGGCACGCAAGCAGTGCGCGCTGGCGCACACCGCAGAGCGCTGCGCGAGCTGCTCTTACAGTTCAGTGCCCTAAGCGCCTGCCACGCACGCTCGTTCGGCGTCTGGCGCATGTGCAGTGAAATAGCCCAGCCCGGGGATCCAGCCATAAGGCACGGATGGGGGAGGGGGCAAGTGGACTCAGCCGGAAGATAGAACCCGATCTCTCCACTCCCCCCTCCCTCGGTATTCGCTGCTCATCTTTCCTTTATTCCAGCCTTCAATCTAAATATAGCCAAACATGTTGTCCTTGACTACGTTATTTTCAATCATCTTGACTCACCACCCCATCCCAGTTTAAATCTGTACTTTAGAAACAGTCTGCAAATGCGAACTAGTGGCCAAAGGGAAGCCAGATCTTCTTTGAAGGTGTTAAAAGTGACACATACACACACACACACGCACACACTTTTAACACCTTAAAAGAAAATTTTTATGTGTGATCCTCAGGGAAGTGTTACAGGTTTTTTTTCAGCCTGGTGCTTCTGCTTTAGGAAAAGGCCTTTCCTCCTGGCTTCTGCTCAAACCGCCAAACTTAAGGCCAGTCCTTCAGCCGTACTATTCCCGGACTTTGTTACGCCAGAGCAGCACGTTCGAGGGCTCTGCGGGGTCCAGGGGCTCGGCAGAGAGCGGTCAAATAAATAAATAAACGGGCAAACCGGAGGGATTTTCCGCCTGGACTCGCCTAATTAATGGGGGATGCACGCTCCTGGGCCGAGAGCCTGGGGGGTGGGACGGGAGGGGGTCTCAGGATCCTCTCGACTTCTGGCCGCCCCAGGGGACACTGGGGGACCGGCTCCCAGCCTCTGGTGCGGGAAGATCTCCACCCGCGCGAAGAAGCCTCAGCCTCGGGTTTTCCGGGCGGCCTCAGTCCCCCTGCTCGGCTGTCTGGCACCTTGTCCAGGAGGAGGCGCTGTAGGACAAGCGTCTTGCCCGCTGCGGCGGCGCCGGTGATGCCCCGGGCGCGGGCGGGGGTAGGGGAGGACACGTGACTCCTCTTCCTCCTCCACCTCCTCCTCCTCCTCCTCCTTCTCTGGTAGCGAAGTGCTTTGGCCTCTGTGGAGGGTCGGAGGTACTGCGCCCACCCCCAGAGGGCTGCTTCCCGGGATGGGCAGTTTAGGTAGACCCGAGGCCGCGGAGCCTGAAGGCAGATTCCAGGGTGGCAGGCCACCTCACTTCCTCCGCCTTCCCGGAGGTGGCGCGATTTCCGCGCGCTGGGCTCCTAGAAGCAGGAAACTAGGGTCCCGCGGTAGGACAAGACGTGTTTAACCATCCCCCTCGGGCTGGGCTGCTGTTCTTGCCACTTTTCATTACTGCGATCCTTGGTAGCTAGAATCCGCAGCCTTGAAAAGCACGACGTTCAGCGCCTCCCGAGGCAGGCGGACGGGCCTCGCGCCGACTCTCCTACCACAAGGCCTGGGTTCCGGGATTCCCTCTGGGCTTCCTTGAGGCTGAGAGGGCGGATCTCATTGACTTTGCAGCTTGAGAACACTGCAGATGCACATCTCAGCCCTTTTCCACACCACCCACACACACTCCTCTCACCCCTGCGCCCATTTCAGGACCTTAGTGGGCTCCACGGGTCGTTTCTTGCCCCACTGTGACACCCAACTTCGACAGTCGGCCCCGACCCAACACCACTGATCCTCCATTGTCTGTTGGCAATGCAGTCTTTTTCTTCCCTCTTTTCCGTACTTAAGGACAATGATTCTTTAATAAAGACCTGCATTCAAATTTGTTTATAATTCAGGTTCCTGGGTCTCAGGCCAGACTTAATAAATCATAATATCTGGGACCTGCATTTTGTAAACACTCTCCCAAAAGGCAATTAAGAAGTATGCTTATATTTGCCAACTACTGGTCAAGTGTCTCTCCTGCTTCTTCTATGGTTCTTTGGTGTCCAGGGGCCAAGTTCCCTTTACCACTCAGCAACCCCCATAGTTCCTGGGGCTCCCTCCCTAACTGAGTTTTTAAATGTCACTACCCTATAGGCTGATTAATTGCTCCCATTTAGGGAAGGGGACATTGATTTCTTGCTAACTTGGAGATTTTCAAGAGGTGAGTATGTTCCCAGTTCAGACCGCCTTGGTTCAAATCTTTACCACTTACCTGCTCTGTAACAGGCAAATAGGGCAAATTCTCTGGGCCTGTTTCCTCATTTGAAAAGTAGGAATAAGAGTACCTTCAAGGTTGTTATGAAGATTTTTTTACTTACATAGCAATACTGTGTGCTGTGCGATATTCTAACTACCTTAAACACATTAATTCACTGGTTAAGTACTTGAAAGAGTGTTTTGGCGCATAACAAGCATTCGGTACATATTGCTTATCATTATTATCTCTTTTCTGCTCAACATCAGGCCTAGACTTTTAGAGCTGAAAGAGACCTGGTTCACTCACCCAATTCTTGAAATCTACAGAGGAGAAGACAGGCATAGGCTTGGTCACACAGGAAGTGACAGACCCAGGAGAACATAGTTCTGGGGGGCTTCCTCTTGCTGGAGTGGGCCTCGTAGGCCCTGCTCCCTTGGGTCTCGGGTGTCTGGCACCTCTGCCTGTGGGGAGACTTCAGGGATGCATCCAGAAGGAAAGTGCCGCTACCCCCTCAGTGGGCAGATGGG